AAGCCCAGCATCAGGCTGGAGTCAGACCACCCTGGCAAGGGGAAAAAGGCTCTCTGGAGCCTAGATACCTGCATTTGCGTGTGGGGGTGGGCAGAGCAACAACGCTTAGAAGACTATAAATTGGGGATTCTAGGGCCTACTGCTTGTAATCTTAGGGTAAAGCCACCCCTACAGGATAGGTCCGTTGGTAGGAGAGGGGTTTCTCTTGAGGTCTCCTATAGAATTAGATAATAGGATCCTATACACACCCTGCTGCAGGATCCTCACATAAACCTCCAAAGTCAGGCTCCTCCCCAAGAATAAGCAATCAGAACTGTTTCCTACTTAGAGTCAAACTGGATAGTAGCCACTCTGTGTCTTAGGAGCCAGGCCCTTTGCTGGGTGCCAGAGGGTCCAGAGAGAGAAGAGATGTCTTTGCCAATCTGACAGAGGTACAAGCCCTGTCCTAGAGGGACTCCCCAGCTAATGAGGAAGACAAGATGTCTCCTCCAACATCGCCATGCGTGGAAAACCCTGGGCCAAGTCACAGACGCAAGTGACAAGCAAGATGGCAGAGCAGAGAGGGAAACAGGACAATGGAGGTCAGCAGGAGGGGTGAGACTTGGAATGGCCTTTGTGAGGGCCCAGAGTATGGGGAGGAGCCTGGCTCAGAGACTGCCTGGGATATGCTTCCCAGGAATGGGGTCTAGGTAGTTCTGCAAAATGTAGGGCTGGAGGAGATGCGGAAAGGCAAAAAGTCTCTTGAAGACTGTGATTGGGAAAGCTTTATCCAATGGCAACAGATATGTCTGGGTAGGGAAAGGGCAAGATAAAACTGATGCTCATCATGACCGTTCCAGTGATAATTTCATTACAAGATAAGGGGAAGGAATCGAGAAGAGAGGGGCTGGGGTCAGGGAGGTCATTAAGGAGGCTGCTGTGGGCATCTAGGCTGATGGGACGAGCAGGCCCATCAGGAGACACAAGAAGAGGACATATCAACCTGAGAGAAGCTGTGGGGACAAACCTGGGCCAGGAGAGGGAGAGGCGGGATGAAGAAGAGAAGAATGATAGGCAGGGCCATGAAAGCTCGGATGAGATGTGGGGATTGGCAGAAGTCTTTGGCCGAAAGAGAAGTTGCTGAAAATGGAGAAAGAGACGATTTGGCAAAAGCTCAACAGCTCAGTTCTCATTTGTTGAATCTGAGGACAAGACATCTGCTCAGCAAAAACTTGTGGAAAGCAGGGGCTGTGGGTATGGAGACCCCACCTCAAGAGATGCCCAGCCTATTGGAATCAAGGGAGGAACTTCATCTTAAACTACTTGATAATTCGTCTACCTTCCCAAACTCCAGAAGGGTGGGAAGAAAGAAACCTAGGACAGAATCTAAAACAAACAAACAACAACAACAAAAAAAAATGAAGGGTTAGGACAAAGCCCAGGAACCAGGAAAGATGACAGAGTAGAAAACGGTAGAGTAGTGGGAGAAACGTTATGACCCGAAACTCCACTTTTTACACACTAGGCACCATTCCAAACCCTTTATAATGGTCACTGAGAATCCTCACAACAGTTAGGAGCAGTTTTACTGTGAGGATGAGACTTCTTGAGCTACTAAGTGGAAAACCAAGGTTTAAACCCACGAAGTCGGACTCCAAGGCTGTGCTCTTCACCACAGTGCCTCCTGTCTCTCAGAGCAGAAAGTAGGCCTGGAACAGCAAGATAGAGGTGCAGCAGCCACCAGGAGAGGCTCCGACAGTTGTCACAATGATCCCCAACCTCTGAGCTCCATCGCTCCTGTCACAAGCGTTAAGCTTGGGCTTTCTGTTTCGGGATTTGGTTGGTGGCTTTTGCTTCGGTTTGGTTTGGTTTCTTGGTCCAGAAGGTGGTCTCTTTCTCCCTCCCACTCTCCATGTCAAATGTCTTCCCTTTTCTGGGATGCACTTCCTGAAATCTAACCTAAGTCCTTCCAGTTGCAGCCGCAATCCTTTCCCCAGCTCTTCTGCCATTGGAAAAGTTGCACAATGGCCGTGAATTCCCTTTCTGTGCTGCACCTTGTTGGAGGCTTGAGGTCTAATTCAGTCCTCCCTAGCTCCTGCTTCTCCAACCTCCTTCTCCAGGCCGAAAAGTTCTGCTCTTACTTCTCTCTCACATTCCAGAGCCAGCCCCTCCCTTCCCCCACCACCTCAAATCCAGGCTCCAAGCTGGCCGACACCCACGGGAGGGCTTTTCCCACAATCCCTTTCTCTTTGCCCTTTCAAGGTTCTGATGGGGGAGGGGCACCAGATGCACTCTCTTCATGAAGGATGGTGGCAACATGTAGACTAAACTCAGACGAGGGAAGAAAAGCATCGAACTCAGCCTGCTGGAGAGACCGAGGTGGCATGGCACTGCGGAACTCTCATTCCCAGGAGCGGCCCAGCCAAACCACCCATCACTGGGTGCTAAAACACTTATATTTTAAATCTCCCTTTCCTCTTTAATCTTTCTGTAGTTTCATCTCAACAATGTGCCTTGGCTGATTCCTTCTCTGCCCCCTTCCAGGGCCCCACTGCTATCCTGGACAGCTTGGCCTCAGCCTGGACAGTAGCACTGACCAGTCAGGCAAGAGAAGAATCTAGGCCGAGGAGGGGAGGGAGAGTGGAGATTTTTTCTTCCGTCCTAAATAACCTGCGGCAGGAAAGTTTAGAGACTCCATTGCCCAATGTCCCTTTTCCTCCCCACCAATGCCAGGAGGCTCGGCCTATCTTTCCATCTTGTAGGCAGAAACCAAGCAGTTTACTAGGAGACTCAGGAGTATCCTTTGAGGATATGGATCTTTCCGCATGACCCACCCCCTAGACCTTTAAACCCCTTATCCCACCAATCACAGAATGACTCCAGAGGACTTCATCTGAGCCCACCCTGACCCAGGTGTCCTAGCCTCTCTGGTCCCTAGGAAGGACAAGGGAAGGAAGGTCCCTGAGTCCTCTGCCAGTCACTTCTTTGCAGCTCAAGCCAACCAAGTTGGAGCTGCAAATGAGTTTATGCACAGTGGTGCAGGTGGGGGGGAGCTAGAATGTGGTTCATTGGGGCACATGGAGGAGGTGGGAGATACCAGCGGGCAGATCATTAATCCCTTCACACAAACATATGTACACATAGGCTGGATGTGGGTCAGATCCTGGGGAGACAGATTTTTTTTTCCCTCAGGGTAAGGGGTAGCAGAGGGGTTCTGCATTAGAGCCAGAGGAACTGGAACCATAACCCTGCTACCCCTACCACTCCCACCCCCCACACACTCCCCGTCAGTGGAGTCATTGCCATTTGATATCCGCTGAGACAACTTGGCTGCTCAGGCTCTGGGTGGGGGGTGGGGGGATGGCTCAGAAAACAGCAGCTCCTTTCAGGACCCAGGTTGGCAAGGGCTTTGGGAGGCTGGACCGGCCCAGATCACCCCCCAACACCCTCTCCCTCCCTTCCTCCCTTGCCACCACCACCAAAGGACTGGGGGGAGGCAGCGGGGAAAGGAGTTGGCACTGCCGGGGCCATGCCTATTGCCTCCGAAATCCAGCCCTGGACCCTCTCCCTGGCGTGATGCCTTCCGTCCCCCTCCTCCCTCATTTCTTCCTACCTGAAGAACCAGCTATGAGTCAGGATGCCTGGTTCCTTCCAAACTTGGTCCCCCATACCCAGTCTACCCTTAGAGAAATTTACAAGCCCTCCAACTTGGCACAGGATGGTACCCACCATCATGCCAGGAATATGTTCAAAAATCCTTGGAGATTAGGGAGAGTTTCAGGATGAAACTAAATTGAATTCAGTGGTAGCTGCCCACCCCTCCTGGGCTGATTTCCTGACAACCACTCTGGGCCCTCCTCACACCCCTGAACAAGACCATCTTTCACATGGGGGCCCCAAATATCCCATCATTATCTCCCTCCCACCCAGATGGCCTAAAGCAGTCCCAGTGGGGAGAAAAGAAATTCAGACACCACAGCAAGAGCAGACTGGCCAGACATCTTTAGTCAGAATTTGTATTAGTAAGCAGCAGAAGCAGGCTTTAAGCGCTGGCTTCTTTGGGGTCCAAATCTGCACCAGCTTCTTCACCATCTCCACTTCCCCATCTGCCTCACCTTGCCTGGGGCACTCACTGGAATTAAACCTCAAGACACCAGAACCCACCTCCACTTTTTCCCCTGTTGTCCTTCTACCCATTCCTGGGTTCAGCTCTCCTCTCCCAAATCAGGAAGTTCCATCCTTCATCTCTTCCCTAACACAGGTGCCCTGGGTTAAGTTCCTGGTGAGAGGAGAGATGAAATGGGAAAGGACGTCTCTGTCTGGAGGGTGAGTTTATAGAACCCAATCTGCCCTTCTCACTTTAGAAGTGCCTCTGCTCCTTTCCTTCGGGAAATCTCAATGTGAAACAGCTGGGTGAGGGTGAGGAGCAATGAGGAGGGATGTCTTGAAATGGGAGCCACTCAGATTGGAAGGAAGAGATTGGGTGGACAGGGGTCTGGGGCACAGCAGGCTTCTGTGTCTTCCCAGTCTGAGCTGCCAATATCTGTTTTTCTCCCCATGTGTGAACTAGCAATCACAGGTGTCACTACGTGATTGTCACTTTATGGGGAGTGGGGGAGGGGCTGGGCATGGGCGTAACCTGTCCATATGGGGAGGAGGGGGCACTGTCTGGTGTGCCTGTGTATAGGATCTCTCCTTATGTGTGGTTGTCACTGTAGTAACTAGAGGAGCGGGGAGGCAACTGCTGGTCTCTCCAGTGGGAGGGGGCATCGGGAAAGCCCCTTCCTTAAATGAGAGGGCTGAGATGACCAGCCTGGGTAGTTTCCTCGTGGGGACCCGTTCCCAGGAGGCTCCGTTTGGGACTGCCCAAGGAGGGAGGCAGGGAAACAAGACGGTACTCTCGGGCCAGTCAGGACAGGGACTGGGGAGCTTGGGCCTCGATGTCTCTGGAGAGTTAGGGGTACAGGACCCGGCCGGGGGCGGGGGACAGCACTCCTTCATCCCAAGGGCCAGGGTCTTACCTTGGGTCCGAGGTGGAGTGGCCCCTTGGATGGGCCGCGGGGCAGCGGGACAGATGGACGGACTGGGCGGGCAGGAGTAAGGAGCAGAGCTGTGCGACGGGCAGGGTCAGGACTCTTAAACCCGGAGCTGGGATCAGATAAGGGGTTGTCCGGGGGCCGGGGCCGGGGTCGGGCCGGCCGGGGGCAGAGCTGGGCCGGGCCGGGCCGCCCCCTCCCTCCGCAGCGCCGGAGCCAAACTTTGTGTGAATGGAGGGGCCCAGATGGGGGTCGGGCAGGCGGGGGCGGGGGGCTCCGGACGGACCAATGGGAGACTGGAGCGCTAGGCTCGAGCTGCCGGGATTGGAGGGGCTTGGGCAGGGGGCGGTGCGTGCGGGGCAGGGAAGCGGAGACCCAGACAGATGGAAGTGCAGAGAGAAATACCCAAAGACAGAGACCCAGACAGACCCGGGAGAAAGAGAGATGAAGAGACGATACGCGAAGCGATAGGAGCTGAGCTGGCAGGGTGACAGGGGAAGGGAGAAGGAAGAAAAGGGAGACGGTCGTGTCAGAGATGGGTTACGGGAGCTGGAGCCGGGGGGCGGGACTGGGGCAGAGTTAATGAAGTGGAAATGAATTCAGGACCGGCCCAGTGGCCCGGCAGGCAGCGCCGAAGGCGGCGCCTGGGAGTGAGATTGGGGTGGAGTAGGCCTGGGCTCCCTTTCCTTGGACACAGTCCCCGTGTTGTTCACCGTTTCCCAAGTCCCGGGTGCGGTGCTGGGTGCGTGACGCGCAGCACACCGTGCCCACCTGTAGCGAATTTCTCTGCAAGGAAAGATAAGGCCCGAAACCGCGGCGAAGTGCGGGAGATACCGAAGGCTGCAAAAGGGAGAGGTCACTCTACTCAGGGGGCTCCCAGCAGATGTGGGAGGGAAGAGGTAACATCTGATTAGGGTCCCAAAGGAAGTAGAAGATTCAGATGCCGAGACATGGCGGGGAGTCCCCAGGACTCCGTTCCATTTAAGGGAGAGGGAACAACATGGCAGAGTCCTAGAGAGACGTGAAAATACAAGTTTGCTTGGGAAACAGCATGAAACTGTCTCATTTGCTCGATTAGAATGCAGCGTGGTGGTTCTCAACCCTTTCATCACCAAAGACTTCTTTAATCACCTGAATCTATGTTTTGAGAGGGCTTTATTCACCTCCCCCCCCCACACACACACCCAGCATTTATTAAAGAAGAATATAAGCATCACACACTGGGGTCTGTTGGGGGAATAGGGGAGGGACAGCGGGGAGTGGGGAGTTGGGGAGAGATAGCATGGGGAGAAATGCCAGATACAGGTGATGGGGAGGAAAGCAGCAAATCACACTGCCATGTGTGTAACTATGCAACAATCTTGCATGTTCTTCACATGTACCCCAAAACCTAAAATGCAATTTAAAAAAAGAATATAATTATTTCCTAATTTTTGATCATCATAAACATTTAATTTGAACATCAAAACATTTAATCAATAATTAGTGTTACCATATTGAGTTGCTATAAATTCAGGTTAAAAAGGAAAGAAACTAGGAATGTAGCTTAGTTTAACGTCTAAAAGCCATAGATAAGTAAATGTCCATTTTAAATAGCCTCATTGGAGAAGCTGGAAGGACTAGACTAAAAGGCACCATAGACAGTGTTTGTGTTAAAGGGAACACCCAGAAGAAATGCAGAGTTGTGCTGACTTGTGGTCAGGCCAGAGTTTCTGTAGGCAACGGAGAGCAATTGAAGGTTCTTGGGAAGGACGGGGTAGGAGAAATCTATAGAATTTTAGAAAAATTAATCTGGAGGTGACCAAATAGTTTGAATGAAGGGGATATAGTAGTCAAGTAGACTAGATGGAAAGTAATTCCAATAATATAAGCATGAAGAAATGAGTTCCCAAATCAGCATGGCAATGGTGAAAAGTGGAGCACACGAATGAATTGGAGTAAAGAAAAATCAAAAGAAAATGAAAAAAAACTTTGAAGCCACCTTGACATGAGCAAACAAGGGAAACTTCAGAAATCGTATTAGAGTCTCAGGTCAAGTGATCAGAACTTCGAGGTCATTCACGAGCATAGGGAGCCTAGCTGGGGATCACACCCAGTGAGGAAATGAGGTGGGGGAAGAGGAAGTGATGAGGTCAGAGCTGGAAGCTGTGGAGAGGGATCAGAACCAGAGATAGAAGGGGGGTTATTGCTGCCAGTGCAGGATGACTTGAAGCCGTGAGAACAGGGTAGCTGCCGACAAAGACTGCACAGAGAGATGAGTGCCTGGCACAGAGAGGAATACCTATGTTTAGTGGGTGGGAAGAAGAAGGACCCCCAAAGAGTGAAAGAGAATCCACCAGATAGGCAAGAAGGAGTCAAAGAAAGTGAGATGTCATGGAGCCAAGGAAGGAGAGGCTATTAAGGAGGAGGTTCTAACAGTGCCAACAGGTACAGAGAGAAGAGGCATTGGGTTTGGCAGTGACAAAGTCACTAGTGACATTTGAGAGCAATTTCAAAAGAGTGAGCAAGGTGGGAACCAGATTACAAGTTACCACTAGAAAGTGAGAAACTGTTAGCAAGTATAGGTTACACTCTTGAGAACTTTACTCACAGAGAAGAGAGAAATAGAAACCAGACAATGTACTGGAAACAGACCAGGCACAGTGGCTCATGCCTATAATCCCAGCACTTTGGGAGGCCGAGGTGAGCAGATCACCTGAGGTCAGCAGTTTGAGACCAGCCTGGCCAAAATTGTGAAACCCTGTCTCTACTAAAAATTTAAAAAAATTAGCCAGGCATGGTGGAAGGCACCTATAGACCCAGCTACTTGGGAGGCTGAGGCATGTGAATCACTTGAACCTGGGAGGCAGAGGTTGCAGTGAACTGAGATCACGCCACTGCACTCCAGCCTGGGGGACAGTGCAAGATTCTGTCTCCTAAAACAAAAAGAAAAAAGAAACAGTATTCTAGTTTTTCTTCTTCACATTCCCAATGCCCTCTCTTCCTAAGTCAATATGCGTGAGGGGCTGTGGTGAGATGGTCTGAGTGCCAGCCTACAAGGCTGGTATAAGAACTTTAAGTTACAAGGAATAGAACATCCATCCAAGAGATCCTTAAGGGAGCCACAGTGTTGACATTCACAGACAGAGAGGACTTAGGCAGGGGTGTCCAATCTTTTGGTTTTCCTTGACCACACTGGAAGAAGATTTTTCTTGGGCCACACATAAAATATACTAACACTAACAGTAGCTGATCAGCTTTTTAAAAAAAAATCACAATAAAAATCCTCATAATGTTTTAAGAAGGTTTACAAATTTGTGTTGGGCATCATTCAAATCCATCCTGGGCTGCAGGCAGCCCACAGGCTGTGGGTTGGACAAACTTGGCTTGGAGGCTCTGGTGGAACTCCAAAATAAACATGAAGAGCACCAGAGAAGATGAAGCAAAGGGACTGTCATGATTTATGGAATCATTAACAGACATTTATTGTGCACTCGTTATTTTTCCAAAACTGTTATCCACGCATTTGGCTTCAACTACCATCCGTGTGTCCATATGTCCAGCGCACCTGGATATCCATTTCAAAGTCAACATATTTAAAGTAGAACATGTCACCTTCCTCACAAGAGTGCTCCTCTTCGTTTATTCTCTATTGTGGTAGATACACTATCATCATCCAACCAGAAACATGGCAGCCATCCTAGATTCTTCAGTCTTCCTCACCTCATCTCCCTTATTGAATCAGGGCATCTATGTTCTAAATCACCTCAATATTGTCCCCTCTCTCTCTATTCCACTGTCATTGCTATAGTTTAGGACAACATTACCTCTCACCAGGTGATAACAGTTTGGATGTTGTCTCTGCCCAAATTTCATGCTGGATTGTAATCCCCAGTGCTGAATGTGGGGCCTGGTGGGAGGTGCTTTGATCACGGGGACAGGTCCCTCACTGCTTGGTGCTATCTTCATGGTAGTGAGTTCTTGTTTAAAAATGTGTGGCAATTTTTCTCAACCCCCGTCTCCTCAACTCTCTCTTGCTCCTGCTTTTGCCGTGTGATGTGCCTGCTCCTGCCTTGCCTTCCACCATAAGTAAAAGCTTCCTGAGGTCTCCCGAGAAGCCAAGCAGATGTCAACACCATGCTTCCTGTAAAGCCTGCAGAACTGTGAGCCAATTAAACCTCTTTTCTTTATAAATTACCCAGTCTCAAGTCGTGGGGTTTGTTTCAAACCCTTTTTTTTTTTTTTTTTTTGAGACAAGGTTTCACTCTGTCCCCTGGCTGGAGTGCAGTGGTGTGATCGCAGCTCAGTACAGCTCTGAACTCCTCTGTTCAAGCAGTCTTCCTGCCTCAGCCTCAAACATAGCTAGGACTACAGGTGTGCACCACTACATCCAGCTAATTTTTATTTTTATTAATTTTTTTTTTGAGATAGAGTTTCGCTCTTGTTACTCAGGCTGGAGTGCAATGGCGCGATCTCAGCTCACCGCAACCTCTGCCTCCTGGGTTCAGACAATTCTCCTGCCTCAGCCTCCTGAGTAGCTGGGATTATAGGCACGCGCCACCATGCCCAGCTAATTTTTTGTATTTTGAGTACAGACGGGGTTTCACCATGTTGACCAGGATGGTCTCGATCTCTTGACCTCGTGATCCACCCACCTCGGCCTCCCAAAGTGCTGGGATTACAGGCTTGAGCCACCGCACCCGGCCCATCCAGCTAATTTTTAAAAAAATTTTTAGTTGAGACAAAAAATTGCTATGTTGACCAGGCTGGTCTTGAACTTGTGAGCTTAAGCAATCCTCCCACCTCAGCCTCCCAAAGTGCTGGGATTACAGGCTTGAGCCATCACTCCTTTCTTGGGTATTTCTTTATAGCAACGCAAGAATGGCCTAAAACACCAGGGCTCCTACAGCAACCTTCCAACTAGTCTTCCTACCCCCAGTCTTCCTCTAATAATTCTTTGGATTATGAATTTCTTTATTCAAAAGTAATTAAGCACCAATAAAGTACACCTCACTGAAACACACATCTGACCATATCCCTTCCAAGTTTTAAAACTTTCAGTAACTGCCAACTAAAGTCCAAGTTCCTTACGCTGGAAGAGAAGGCCTGTTATAACCTGGACCTGGTGCCACTCCAGCCTCATCTTCTTCCACTGTCCCATACACCCAAAGCCACAGCTACTTTCTTTAATACTCAAGGTTCAGCCTTATGTTCTCTTTCTGTGTCTTGCTCCTTGAGCCTTTGTCACGGACATAGCTCCAACTGTTGTCCCTGAGTGATGCCCAAATCTCTGTCTTCAATACTGCACTCTCCTTGGAGCTCCATATTTCTAGTTGCTTGCAGGGAATTTCCATCCTGACTTGACAGGCCCCAAACTGAACTCGGTATCTTCCTCCCAAAAGCTGGAAGTGCTCTTGACTTCCTTAGTTCTGTGTTACTCCTGGTCAATCAGAATAAAAAAC